GGGGGATGATGGGAGTGTGTGTAGGGGGTTGAGGGGCGGGGCGATTGAGGGTGTGTGTGTGTGTTTTAGTCTTGTATATTTGTATGCTATATGTACTTGTATTATTGTTGCGCCTACGAGTCGTATGGCTTTCGGCTAATAAAGAATCTGATTTTGAATCTGAATCAGATCATGATAAGAGTCTACACATGTTCATAAATAAGAATGATGATATGCAAATGAACCTGAAGAACATTTCAATATAACATGCTCCTACACTTTAACACTCCCTTATAGCACCCTAATACACATTTTATTTACATTTACATATCAGCTTAGTAAACTCTGATTTCGAAAACATTAGCATATATGCAAGGAAAAAACGCTTTGCGGAATGATACCCATTTCAAATATGGCGCGGGTCAGCGAGATAACTGCTTAATGACAGCCACTGTTTAGTTCCTTCAACATCTACAAATTAAACATGGAACGTATTTGGGACTCATTATGTCTGATTATACAACAAAGTGATGCTGGCCAACGTCTTATTCCATGAATGCACATTCGAAACTATTTGACGGTTAAGTAAACAATGGCGGCTTCCTTTTACTTAATGATACTTAATGATATTTTTCAGCACAGATTCCATTCTAAGGACCCTCTTCGCTGGACTCATTAGTGTTATTATCATAATTATATGTTTTTTTGCCACATTCGTCCGCTAACACGCCCAATAAAATATGTGCGTTCATACTACCGTATAGGCCGTCAAAATGAAGGTCAATCCTTAATTATTTCCATTTCTGTTCTTACGATGTAAATCACTTAAATTTTACGTAATACATGTATTTATATTTGGGCCTCTTCAGGATGAGAGTCTTCAGAAACCTCTATTAGTTTTGATATATATATATAGTAAAAGTATTTTCTTTTCTTTCAAGGTTCCCATATTTTTGTGGATTTGCTGGAATGGTCAATTTTGCCAAATAAGATTTCCCCAGATCTTGAGTCTAGTGGTCATGTAACATAGTCTACAGTAAAGAAAAGAAAAAAATCCTACTTATTTTGTGGGTTGTACTTTTTTCCAGAAAGATTGTTACCACAAAGTCATGAAAATTAGAATGTCGCAAAAAACAAATATATTGACAGCAGCTGTCATCCTTTACCCTTCGGGAATTAAAATTCGGTCAAAACAAGAGTCCATTAAAATAAAACACTTTCACAGTATGCAGTTAGGATCGATGGGTCAAGCATCTTTCATCAAGCTAAATACCCTTTCTAGAGTCCAATGACCGATGTTGAATAAAAAATCTTTGGAAGAGTGAAAGTATCATACAAGTTAAAGGTTTTACTGTATCCCCATCTCCAAACAAACTTACTGTCCCGTACATTCATAGAATTTAATGGATCCTCATCTCCACATTCATAGAATTTAATGGATCCTCATCTCCACATTCATAGAATTTAATGGATCCTCATCTCCACATTCATAGAATTTAATGGATCCTCATCTCCACATTCATAGAATTTAATGGATCCTCATCTCCACATTCATAGAATTTAATGGATCCTCATCTCCACATTCATAGAATTTAATGGATCCTCATCTCCACATTCATAGAATTTAATGGATCCTCATCTCCACATTCATAGAATTTAATGGATCCTCATCTCCACATTCATAGAATTTAATGGATCCTCATCTCCACATTCATAGAATTTAATGGATCCTCATCTCCACATTCATAGAATTTAATGGATCCTCATCTCCACATTCATAGAATTTAATGGTGTTTTAATGATACAAATAAAGCTTCATCATCTTTTCTTTTTCCCGCCACTTTTAGGTCCTTTCTTTGATTCCTGAAGGTAAAAGAAAACTGGATTTAAATCAAGGCAGAGGGTTCAATGATACCTCTGTAACCATGACACGCTACCTTTAAATTTTACATGAAATAATGCTAGTACATCTGGAATATAATCTAGAAACTGGGAAGGATGGCTACATGAACAAGACAAATACTACAAACCCTGTACGCATGTTTTGATTTCACATTCCATGGCATGCTTTGTGAAAATAGAAGAAAATAAAGCACTATCCTTTCGTTTCTTTTGAGATGGAAAAAGTGTGACTTTACGCTGAATTTTCAAATCCTGACCAGAACCATAAAATTCACCAAATTGACCTAAATATAATATATTTTCACTACCATATCTTCTTCTTTATTCCTCTATAATTCACCTGGCACCCACATTTAAACAGGGCAGATACTGAGCAGACCTGTTCACTTGATTCTGCATTTCTTCCATTCATTCTAGTTGTAATTTACAGATGAAGGTTTCTTAATTGGTTAAAATCACATTCAAGTTTAAATGCTAAATTATAAATGATTGACCTTTTTATATTCATTATTTGCACAACCATTAGCATCCTATACTAATTTAGTGTTCAAGTATCTAGTTACCTTTGACTTGATGTAACCATGTTCCTCTAGCAGTCCCCTTGCAGCATTGTTGATGTGCTTGAAGCGATCAGGCCCCAGAAGTATCCCTCCATACCACCTTGAAACCACTACCATCACATTATCAGAATCCAAGATCTGTCCAAATGAAAACATGCCATTATCGGTACATATATACATTTACATGTATGGTCGAAGCTAGATGGTGTTCGTCAGTGTCTCTGAAGGCACCTGTCTGTTACAAGGACATTAAACAACAATAACAAACTTCATGTTCAAACCAAATATTCATCTGACTATATTGCTACTTTGATTGTATGTGTGCTATCAAAACGCATTCTCAATTATGAACAAAAATACACTGTCATCAATATCCCCCGCTCGCAGTGCAAAAGTCATTAAAACATGAATCATAAAATAAAGGTCAATATCAGCATCCACAACATGCATTCAGTAGAGCAACCCTAGATACACAATTGATGCAAGTATAACCAATATAGCACTAATTGTAGGCAAAATATAGATGAGAGCTATTCTTCTTAACCTTACATAAAGATAAAAGTAGTACATCTTAACCAAGTCAATGAAGCATAAAATATAGGTCAATAACAGCATCCACAATATGCATTCAGTAGAGCAACCCTAGATATATTACAATTGATGCAAGTATAACCAATATAGCATTTGTAGAAGGCAAGATGAGAGCAATTCTTCTTAACCAGGTGCATGGACGGTCATACGGAAGGACCCCATTTCTATACCCCCCCCCCTCCAACTCATTGAGCCAGGGATAATAACATTTTAGTTCCTTTGTCCGGTTAACAATGGTTTCATTAATTTTCATTTTTGACCTCAAAAACCTCTTCTCGGGAAATGTAGATATAGGACGCCCCTGAACAGATTTGTTGTTATATAGCATTCAACAGGATAAAATTGCGACATATAATAAACAAGAGCGATGCGAAGATATAATTTGAACTAGATTGCAGAATGGACACTTTGTGCCAGGTAAGCTAAAAAAATGCAGCATAATTTTTGCCTCAAATTTCAATGGGAATTCATTTGAATTGATTTTTCCAATATTGAAGAAAATGTTATACTCTTTACAGTACCTGTAGTAGGTGAAGCATGCGGGAGCCAGCGTTGGTTTCTCCGTCATCCTCACAGCCCTGGTAAACCGTACCACCCTGACATATCCTGTAGGCGTATATATTGTGCGTAGCATTGGCTATCTTCTTGTTTTGGTAGAGTGTGTCCAGTATCTGCTTAACCTGGGAAAAACGACAGCAGCAGCGTGAACAGCACAATCAAAGGTAGGCTATCATATAACCGTGAAACTTAAATTCTGCATAATGGTGAATCAATGGCTGGGTGTGGGGCGGGGGGAGGATATCATGTCAAAACATTTGTTATCTTGTAATCTAGAGGCATGATAACTAGTGGTTCAGAGACTTGTATACAGGTGGTTTAACGGGAAGATATGAAGTGGTTCAGAGACTTGTATACAGGTGGTTTAACGGGAAGATATGAAGTGGTTCAGAGACTTGTATACAGGTGGTTTAAAAGGAAGATGTTCAGTGGTTCAGAGACTTGTATACAGGTGGTTTAAAAGGAAGATAAAAAGTGGTTCAGACACTTGTAAACAGGTGGATTGAATGGAAGATATTAAGTGGTTCAAAAACTTGTATATGGGTGGATTAAAGGGTGGCTATCAAGTTCAGAATTTTTTATACAGGTGATTTAAAGGTTCAGAAACTTGTATACAATTGGTTTAAAGGTTGGATACCAACTGGTTCAGAAACTTGTATACAGGTGGATTAAAGGGTTGATAGCAAGTGGTTCAGATACTTTCATACTGGTGGATTAAAGGTTGGATGTGGTTTAGAAACTTTTATACAGGTGGATTAAAGGTTGGATGTGGTTAGATTTTTTTTACTATTGAATCAATGGTTGGATATCGTCTGGTCCAAAATCTTGTAATGTGGTGGATCAAATGGGGAATATGAATGGTTCCAGAGACTTGTATACAGGTGGATCAAGGTGGGGGGGTTTGGGTGCATGATATCAAGTGATCAAGAAACTCATGTCCAGGTGGATCAAAGGCAGGATATGACGTGGTCTAGAATCCTTTGATTTTGAAGCGGAGGGGAAATTAATAATCATGTTTTCCTTTTACAGATGGAACAATATTTTACTATTTCCAAGTATGACAATAGCATAACAGTAAAAATTATCAGGACTGCTTTCCGAAAACATGTTTTCGGTGTCTAAAACACATAAAGCATGACAGGTCTACATAAGGGTCTCGAAGAGGATATTCAATAGAGAGCAGTGATCGTGTGAGGGTGACTCGATTTGTTGATGTCTTGTCATGTGATGTGTTTAAGCCAATCAAGACACAATGTTACCCTGATAAGGTATAATGAAATATAATAGTCATAACAGATTATGAGAACTAAGTGCCAAGTATTTCACTGTACCTGTTTTTTATGAACCACAGGTGCCAGATGACCTTGGAATGTACTGCGTCTGTCCACAATTGGTTCTCCACTATTAATGGGAGGGCACTCCATGACTAATAAAAACGAAGAGTTACTGAATAGCTTGATAAATTTATATTAAGTCAATATACCATAATATATATCAAAGTTTTACTTTATACACAAATAATATATATGTATTAACTGTGTCCAAGACTGACCGGCTCTTTGTCAAACTATGACTAATGAGTCCTTTGTATTATTTACATTTGTATTATTTGTATTATTTACATTTGTATCATTTGTATTATTTACATTTGTATGTATTTACACTGTATATGCAAACATAACACATTGTCATATGACATTTAAATTATATCTAGGATTTGAATTATCTTGTAACTTAACACTTTTAATAGTTGACCTGTTATAATTATAAGCTAAGGGGACGTAGTTCTTTGACAGGAGGTACAAGTTAACTGTGAGTAATTTTGATGGGGTGCTATTTTTTATCTTATTTTTGTGGATTTGGTACAAGTGCAGAAATATAATTGCAAAAATTCATTCCTGGTTCTTCATTTGCTGTCCTTAAATTAACTTAGCTGTGAATAGGACACTAAATGCAATAAACCAACTTGAATCAAGACTGCATGGATGAAGTGAATCTTAACAAGTGAGCAGTCATTTGCTTTTAAATTGTACAATTTCAACGGCTAATCTGCTGTCAATATGAAAAGGAATTTTCTTTAAATTCTTACGGCACTGGGATACATGATGTGCAATAGCATGTGACCAGTTGTAAAAGAAACTTGGATGTGATACATGTAAGGCATTATGGAGGCATGGTAGTATAGTGGTAGGACGCCGCGCTCATGACCGAAGGGTTGCGGGTTCAAGTCACGTCACGGCACTGTGTTGTATCCTTGAGCAAGATACTTTACTCCGCTTGTTCCAGTCTACTCAGCTGTAAAGGAGTACGTGGTTGGGCAGTGCTAGAATTGTTAAATGCTAGCTGTGAACGCCGAAATGGCAGCACCGGCTGTATGCGCTCCAGGGAGTGGAAAAAGATATTGGCTGGTTGCAAAGGCCCTATAACCACGAATAATAATTTGTGAATCCAGTTTGAGACGACCTATGAACTAGGTTGCGATAAAGCGGTATGTAATAACCTCAAATTATTATTATTATCATTATGTAAAAAGCCGTCTCTAATTGCCTAGCCAAGCTCTGGTTCATCAATTGGTTAGAGATTCTTAAAAAAAATGCCCTTATTAAAAAAATTACAGACTATACAGTATTGCTGATCTGCATATTTATTTTTTCAACTATTCAACTGTCTAAGAGGATAGTTTTTATATTGTTTTTTTGTTTTTTGTTAACATTCTTGCAACAACCAAGATAATATGAATATGAGGGATTAATAATGAGCATATAGGCACGCTAATAAAAACATTTAATGTACATGTTCATTAAAACCTTGTTATACTTCCGTTGTTTAACTAGCCACATTCTGAAATCATAAAGGGGTTTGACGATATGTGGAGGGAAACTTGTAAATAAGAATTGTTAAGAGAAAAGGAAAAAGGACCCTTGAAATTGCAGTATGCAAAGTGAGCAATGAAATGAGGGGGGGGGGGGGGGGGCATTAATCATATTGTGGATTACATACTTATATAAGATAAAGCCATTTCACTCTAACGAGATAAATTAATGGGAATTACGGCACATACCTTCTCCATCGTCTGGTTGTTCAATTGTGGTGATTACCAGGTCAGAGAGGTCAAATTCACCGTCATTTTCATCCTCATCCCTGACAGCTGATGCTGACTGTGAAGTTTGTGGTGAAGAATCTGAAAATTCAAAAACATTGTCTAAACTGGATTCTGACCTTTCAGATTCTGGAACCTCTGTAACATGACCTTTAACTTATAGATACAACTTCTACCAACTTAAAAAAATTAGGAAAAACTTCAACAGGTCGAAGGCTAAATGTCAGTATATGTTTCTATGTGAAAACCTGTTTAATATGAAAACTGGGACAGGTCCATATGATCAGATAGTCAGTTTAGACAGGTTTCACAGTACATCAGTTAGACTTCAGGTAATACAAATCTATGAGATTATAGTTACAACTGACAAGTGATAATGCAAACAAACATTTTTTACCAATTCACATTGTACTGTAAGCAATGAGAAAAAGACAAGAGATATCTGTCTATAAATAAGAGATTTAAAATCAATTCAGTCAAAAATGAGGCATAACCATCTGTTGATTGACTATATATTGCCTATACATAGCTAGTTGTGTCTGTGCTACCCTTAAATTAACCTCCCATATTGACTATGGTTTAATTATGCCGTAAACTACCTCCTGGACTATGCTTCCAGACAGATTATCTTTTAGTTGTGCCTACACTACCTCACAGATTGACTATCGCCTAGTTAAGCCTGCACTACCTCCCAGATTAACGTCTAGTTGTGCCTGCACTTCCTCCCAGATTGACCTACCTGATCACTGACTTTATCTTCTAGTTGAGCCTGTACTACCTCCCAGAATAACCTACCTGACTAACTATCTTCTAGTCGAGCCTGTACTACCTCCCAGATTAACCTACCTGCTTGACTATCGTCTATTTGTGCCTGCAGTACCTCCCAGATTATCCTACCTGACTGACTATCTTCTTGTTGAGCCTGTACTACCTCCTAGATTGACCTACCTGATTGACTATCGTCTAGTTAAGCCTGCACTACCTCCCAGATTAACGTCTAGTTGTGCCTGCAGTCCCTCCCAGATTAACCTACCTGATTAACTATCTTCTAGTTGTGCCTGCAGTACCTCCCAGACTAACCTACCTGACTGACTATCTTCTAGTTGAGACTGTATACTACATCCCAGATTAACCTACCTGATTAACTATCTTCTAGTTGTGCCTGCACTACCTCCTAGGTTAACCTACCGGACTGGCTATCTTTTAGTTGAGCCTTTACTACCACCCAGATTAACCTACCTGACTGCCTATCTTCTAGTTGAGCCTGTACTCCCCCCCAGAATAACCTCCCTGACAAACTATCTTCTAGTCGAGCCTGTTCTACCTCCCAGATTAACCTCCCTGATTGACTATCGTCTAGTTGTTCCTGCAGTACCTCCCAGATTAACCTCCCTGATTGACTATCGTCTATTTGAGCCTGTACTACCTCCCAGATTCACCTACCTGACTGACTATCTTCTAGTCGAGCCTGTACTCCCTCCCAGATTGACCTCCCTGATTGACTATCGTCTAGTTGTTCCTGCAGTACCTCCCAGATTAACCTCCCTGATTGACTATCGTCTATTTGAGCCTGTACTACCTCCTAGATTGACCTACCTGATTGACTATTGTCTATTTAAACCTGCACTACCTCCCAGATTAACCTATCTGACTGACTATCTTCTAGTTGATCCTGTATACTACCTCCCAGATTAACCGACCTGATTGACTATCGTCTAGTTAAGCCTGCACTGCCTCCCAGATTAACGTCTAGTTGTGCCTGCCCTTCCTCCCAGATTGACCTTCCTGATCACTGACTTTATCTTCCAGTTGAGCCTGTGCTACCTCCCAGAATACCCTACCTGACTAACTATCTTCTAGTTGAGCCTGTATACTACCTCCCAAATTAACATACCTGATTGACTATCGTCTAGTTAAGCCTGCACTACCTCCCAGATTAACGTCTAGTTGTGCCTGCCCTTCCTCCCAGATTGACCTTCCTGATTGACTTTCGTCTAGTTGTGCCTGCAGTTCCTCCCAGATTAACCTACCTGATTGTATATCGTCTATTTGTGACTGCACTAAATGTACCTCCCAGATTAACCTCCCTGATTGACTATCGTCTAGTTAAGCCTGCACTACCTCCCAGATTAACCTACCTGATTGACTATCGTCTATTTGTGCCTGCACTACATGTACCTCCCAGATTAACCTACCTGATTGACTATTGTCTAGTTAAGCCTGCACTACCTCCCAGATTAACGTCTAGTTGTGCCTGCACTTCCTCCCAGATTGACCTACCTGATCACTGACTTTATCTTCCAGTTGAGCCTGTACTACCTCCCAGATTAACCTACCTGACTGACTATCTTCTAGTCGAGCCTGTATACTACCTCCCAGATTAACCTACCTGATTGACTATCGTCTAGTTGTGCCTGCAGTACCTCCCAGATTAACCTACCTGACTGACTATCTTCTAGTCGAGCCTGTATACTACCTCCCAGATTAACCTACCTGATTGACTATCGTCTATTAGTGCCTGTACTACCTCCCAGATTGACCTACCTGATTGACTATCATCTAGTTGTCCCTGCAGTACCTCCCAGATTAACCTATCTGACTGACTATCTTCTAGTTGTGCCTGCACTACCTCCTAGGTTAACCTACCGGACTGACTATCTTTTAGTTGAGCCTGTACTATATAGCTACCTCCCAGATTAACCTACCTGACTGACTATCTTCAAGTTGAGCCTGTATACTACCTCCCAGATTAACCTACCGGACTGACTATCTTTTAGTTAAGCCTGTACTACCACCCAGATTAACCTACCTGATTGACTATCGTCTAGTTGGGCCTGCAGTACCTCCCAGATTAAACTATCTGACTGACTATCTTCTAATTGTGCCTGCTCTACCTCCTAGGTTAACCTACCGGACTGCCTCTCTTTTAGTTGAGCCTGTACTATATAGCTACCTCCCAGATTACCCTACCTGATTGACTATCGTCTATTTGTGCCTGTACTACCTCCCAGCTTGACCTACCTGATTGACTATCGTCTGGATGTGCCTGCAGTACCTCCCAGATTAACCTATCTGCCTGCCTATCTTGTAGCTGTGCCTGCACTACCTCCTAGTTTAACCTACCGGACTGACTATCTTTTAGTTAAGCCTGTACTACCACCCAGATTAACCTACCTGATTGACTATTGTCTAGTTAAGCCTGCACTACCTCCCAGATTAACGTCTAGTTGTGCCTGCACTTCCTCCTAGGTTAACCTGCCGGACTGACTATCTTTTAGTTGAGCCTGTACTACCACCCAGATTAACCTACCTGATTGACTATTGTCTAGTTGAGCCTGCACTACCTCCCGGATCCGTTCAATCCAAAGATAGATCATGCTTTCCCCAAGGTTTTCACTGCAGCAGAAAGTAGAACAATAATAACAGCTAATAATCATGATCTGATTGTGTATTACAATGAAAAGGACCAAATGTTCTCCAATGAAAACTTTACTCTTCATTGAATTTCATTTCAATTAAGAAAATATCAAGCTACAATCAAGTAGATTATTGAGGTATAGTATTAATCTCAGATTGTTCCAGCTGTACAAATACATATTTTTTTTGCAGTTACTTCATGTATAATATAAAATATTTTTTTCTTTTATCTTCTGGTGTTTTTGTTCTGTTTCACAATTCACAGAACACAAATGCATGTACTAGCTTTTATTACGGGCATCGGGGTTCTAGGATCCTTGAAAAAAACCTTTTAATTGTATAGGTCTTACCTCCCTTCCCTCATATTCAAAAATATTACACACAATTATAAGTATGAATTCCTGAATTTGTCCAATTCAAATTCGACCTTTGTTTGTTTTTTTATAAATATTGACCAAGTTTCATAATAATCCTGTCATATCTGATGAAGTTATTGTGCAGAAGCCATTGACCAATCAAAACACAATTGACTAATAACATATGCACAGATTTTGCTTCACTTAGATTTTAAAACTGAAAAGCATGTGCACATGCCTAACGGTGTACATGCTTAACAAGTTTCATCAATATCAAACAATATTTAATCAAGTTTAATTAAGTTATCGTGTGGAAAACCAAGTGAGGATGGATGGACAGACATATATTGCATATGTCACAAAAAATATGTCCAATCGTTTTTTTTACAGGCATAGAGAAAATATAGGATTCCATTTGGAAATATGCTTTTGACCTGATCAATCTGAAAAAAATTCTCAATCATTTGACCAAAGAGTATGAACCGTGGAATGAAGAAAAATAAATCAACTTCTGGGTCTTTGTGAATGTATAGTGGTGAGCACTTGTATTAAGTTTTTGCTTTGTTTCACCTACTTTTTAAGTTTTTAAGTCTCCAGCTAATGATATTTATATTTCAACTTCTGTACTATGTTGTTTTAGACTTATTAAAAGTCTTAAGACACTTACCAATAGATATCGGCTAACGAATCTTCCAGAGTCTGTTTTTCCTCTCTGCGAAGCCAAGGGGCCCTTGTGAAAAACATGAATGGTTACTGATACACGTATCGCTACAGCAAAAACCGAAACGATTGGCACTGTTCTTTCTTGCTGTTGTATATTGCATATGTAAGTTTGTATGTGGAAAATTTCAATTTGCAGAACAGAAATTTTCGTTTCCATGCTGAATTCCTCGATTCACTGTGCTATGAAGAATACAGAAACAAAGCACTATCCCTAAATTACCCTGTATTTAGTAACAACAAAAACATAAAATACACCATGTAGTACCAAAAACTGGTCCCTGCAGCTGGTAGGACGTAAAAAATTGTACCTGCTGCCCCCATTGCATGATCGTAAGAGGTGACTAAATTTGGGATTTTATCTATTCTCTTCTTTCTAAACAACTTTCCTCTTCCCTAATGTCTCCGTTGACAATGCCTCACTTTTGGTCTTTCAAGATTCAAGATTCAAGAAGCTTTATTTAAAGTCGCATAAACATAATAACATTAGCACTGTAGTGCTATTCTCGCGACAAAACATATGTAAAATTTAACAAGGATCACAGAACTTATGAATAAATATAAAAACAGGACACCAATTCAAATTAGATATGCTAAAATTATACAGTAGAGCATATTATATCACACTTGAATGTCACACAAGTGTTACAAAAGACAAGTTAAGACACTTTAATAGTGTAATGTACATATATGCTAATGTAGCAAAGTGTAAAAATTTACAGGATATATACTACCGTAATATAGTGTGAATTAAAAGGAGACAATGAAGTCATAAATAGAAACAGAGCTATAATTATGAGATTGTAAAAAAGTAATGATCTTTTAAATAATGGAGCTCAAATCTAAAATAAATATCAATTATATGATAAGTATATTACTGAAGTATATTAAATTAAATAACACAAGCAGCAGTGAAATTAAATAGTTGTAGTATAAAACATGTAGGTAGATTCCAAAGGGGGACAACTCACACTATATGGTGTGTGCAGATAGCACATGAGCAGACATTTTTGTTCCAGGTGCGGAGCAGCCAATGAAACGACTTATAGTTTTCAGCTAATCGAAGTTCATTTGGTAAGCTGTTCCACACCTGGGAAGCAGCAAATCGGAAAGATTTCTTTCCATTTGTGAAGGTGTTCACCTTTGGGATCTTTACCAGGTTATCTTGTCTCAGGTTGTAAAAAACTTCTTTCCTCTCAACAAGATTTTGCAAAATTGATGGAGAAATTTCATTTAAAATTTTAAAAACTTCAGAGGCGATATCTTTCATACGTTTTACATGTAAAAAATCAAGTTTGTGTTTTCTAAGAATATCAATGACTGGGGAAACATAATCATTTTCAATAAAACGAAGTGCTCGTTCCTGAACTTTTTCCATTTTTTCAAGTATTTGTCAATGTACAAAAAGTGCCAGGCAAGTGGACAATAGTTAAAATTTGATAGAATAAAAGACTTAAAAATGGTCATTTTTCCTTTCTTTGTAAGATTGTTTCCCAGTCTTTTTAAAACAGCAAGTTGTTTAGCAGCATTTCTGCAAAGGCGAGATATATGTACATCAAATTTAAGAAGAAAGTCAATATCCACACCTAAAAGTTTCACACTGTCTCCACAAATAATCTCAAGGCTTTCAATATTAAAAGATTTGATAGTGTTACTTTTCTTTTTTCCAAAACATATTGCCTGAAAGGGCCTGTTTCCAGTAATGTTAATTCTCCATAGGAGCCTGCCCCCGTATAATTTCTTATCTAGCTCAACTACTGTTTTTTTCTTTTCCGAAGAATAATTTTACACCTTTCCGACACCCAGATTTCATAATTTCAGTGAAAATGTATTTTTATAAAGTTGTCAATTTCAGCATCAAAGACATAAGTTCGTAAATAAAAGAAGGTTATCTCGAAATTGTAATTCGCAACATAGTATAAATTTCTTTTGATAAATATTTCCAAAACATCGTGTTTATTCATAAAACAAAAAAAAAAATATTCTCGGATGAAAATGCACTTGCAGAGACACAATTATGAAGAAAAATGCCATAAAATTGCAATTTTCTCCCGTTATATAGTTTTGGATGCAAATTTCCATCAGAAAATCGGATAGAGCTTTACTTGTTTCATATGTGTACCAAAAATCAGCTAATTCCATGTGGTGGAACGTTCTCATATCGCCGCCTGAATGTGGTTGTAAATTGAAAGAAAAGGGGAAATGAGTAACAACCTTGTCTGAAACCCTATTATATAGCTTATTATATACAAACTTTTATATTGAATATCAGAGCGGATATTTTCATGACAGTTTTATGATGTGTAACGACTAAATAAACAGTATCGATATAAAGATTTACACTGAGGACACCCTGATACATGAATACTGTTCTATCTCAAGTTGTCCTCTTCTGAATTTTCTGATCGTGTGGCCTTGTACATTTATCCGTATCTTCTTGTCTTTGTCTATACGTTTACGGAATCATTGACTCGACGCTAGCTATTCTTGTCTCACTTTCCTTGTTTTATTGTCCCATCTCCAAAGCGTTGTGGCTCTGTCAGGGTTGGGACCCTGACTTGTCTCACTTTCTTTGTGCCTGCCGACCACGCCACATCGAATAGATAGATTATCCATATGAAATACTTTATTTTGTTCTAAGTAATCAATCAATTCTGCGCTTCTTGGAGGTATTGAATGTGATTTATTATATTGTCTTGTTATTTTGTGTAATTAGTTGTTCGTTATTTATCACACATTTTCGCATAATTGTACCAAACTACTAAGTATTAGCTGTTTACAGCAATCATCGGTGGCTTGCTATTTTGTTACTTTATCGACGCTTCATAAACCAATCGTTATTGTTTCAAGATGGAGGGTAAATGTGTTGGAGAAGGGTGTCAAGTATACTTCAAGAAACGTAGTGGCAATAAGAACAGAAGTGCACGCAATGTAAATAGTCCACAATATAAATGGCTCCTAGATACGCTGGTGCAACAAGGATTGATGTCAGCAAAGGAACAAGCACTTATTTGCCAGAAGTGCTACATGAAGTATCTTCGGAACAAAAATCAGCCTGAACCTGAACCCGAGCAGAACCAGGAAATAGAGGAAGAAGACGACTCCCCGTCCCATATCCTGCCGTTGCTGACCCTTCATGATCTTTTGAATGGATCATCTTCACACAAAAAATGCTGTCTCTGTCTTGTTACCTTTGCAAGAAATGGAACAAAATCATCAGTCTTACCAAAACGTGCAAGACATCACCTGATCTATTCACACAAACTGTGGTGTCCCACCTCATCCCGCGTCTGCTCCATTCACCTTATTGGTAACGACTTAGATCCGTCTACAGAGGTTGTCCTTGATGGTAGAGGTTCCTTGGAATCTCAGTTACCATCAAAATCGTCCGAAATCATTAATGACCTCCTAGAGGTGTCGCACGTCCTTTCACAGAACCAGTCTGCGTTTACAATAAGCTTTTCTTCTCTTGATGACTCGGCATGCATGGCCTGGACAGGTTGGTCCAAAGATCAGTTCCTCGAAATCCACTCGCACTGTTCCCCATATCTTTCATCTGGTATATATACCAAGACTACACACGATGCTCTATTACTGTTCTGGGTAAAACTGAAAACCGACATTTCCTGGAGTCAGTGTTCTTCTCTTTTTGGAATTTCCAAGTCAAGTGTGTCCAAAACTTTCCACTCCATAGTACAGGCATTAGACACATCGATAGTCCCACAATTTCTAGGTCCGGATCACTTGACAAGAGAACAGTTGCTCGGGCACAATACTGTCTTTTCAGAAGCATTTTTTGGAGATAAAGCCACTGCCATATTAGATGGCACCTATATTTATATCCAGAAAAGCTCCGACCACAAGCTCCAGAGAATGTCCTACTGTGGCCAGAAGAAGAGAAACTATCTCAAATTCATGAGCATCGCCTTACCAGATGGCTACATTCTGGACACAGTAGGACCATTCACTGGCAGCGAAAATGATGCTACAATTACAAAAAAAGTCATGGACAAGCTAGTTACTTGGCTACAACCAGACGACAACGTTGTCGTTGACCGAGGTTTTAGAGATGTCCTACCAGTTCTCGAAGCCTCTGGCCTCAATGCTAGCATGCCGTCATACCTGAAACCCGGTCAAAGTCAACATTCTGACGTCCAAGCAAATCTTGACAGAACTATCACCAAATCGAGGTGGATTGTGGAATCCTATCATGGTCGTCTGAAACACTGGACGTTCTTCCGAACGCAATTGGTGTCTAACAGCTTTATCAATGTCATCGAGGCTTTGCTTCGAACCGTCACAGCCTGTCTGAATGGTATTAGAGGACCGATCTACCAGAGATCTCCAGAGAGAGATGCCAAAGATAGGCTAATGGCTGAACGTATGAAGGACCGTTTGACAACACCGAATGGTTTAGCTCAGAGAGTCAAGACAGATCCGGATCTATCTAGACGGGCAAGGTCCGAGTTTGTCAAGATGGATGCATCTTCCGTACTGTTTCCCCGTCTCGATCTTGATTACTTGAGAACCATTACGTGTGGAACGTATCAGATATCTCTGGCTCCTGGTTACATCGCCGAACATTTAAGTGATGACGGAGACTATGAGGTGTGGCTTTACCAGCACTCCCCAGACCTTCTCCGATGTCAAATACATTCTCGACACAAAAGCCAAACGAAATATAACGTTTGGATACGGTTCACCGTTTCACCCGATGTTGAGGCCCCAATAAAGGACTACTACTGCCAGTGCCCAGTTGGAGAGAGAACGATGGGAATGTGTGCGCACATCTCCAGTATCTTGTACTACCTTGGGTATTACAGGACGCTGGAAAACCCTCGACCATTACAACCACAGGTAAAGAAATTCCGACAAAACTTGAAATAGTTTTCCATGCGGCAACGGAGTGCATATGTCGAAAGTATGTTTGGGGCTCGATATGAAAGATCCCCGTTACCATGTGACTAACCAAACTTATAAATATAGGTATTATACAATCGCCCGTAGCTATGAACACTCCCGTAAATGCGAAAACCAACCAAAATCATAAGGAACACGTTTTGTTTGTTGTTCTGTCTATTTGTCAGCCAATGTCTTCAACCACGGGGACTTGTGAAGTAGCCATCTTGGATTTTTTTTATGAAAAAGTGTTTCTCTCACTTTTTTTCATATCTGTGTACATATTCTCAACATACCGAGCAAATACTCTCGTTTTTTTGTTAATTATCTAAAGAAAGTCGAAAATCGGCAATTCAACCATAGGCTAATTCAACCCAACATTTGAAAATGTTCCACCACTTACATTTTGATGATTTTTCCTCTCATCAATAGCATATTACGTACTGTTTAATAGGATAAAAATTGGTTTGCATCCAACGCCCATAAAAGGGTGTATTCTCTAAAAAACACAGTTTTTGTGTCTAAAATGTTATCATCGAAAATGGCATTTTTGAGATTGTTTCTTCCATAAAACAGCCAAATGGCGCGATGGAAACATGATTTTTTGTCACAATCATGCCATGAATGTATTCTTTACGGTGACCATCATTTGATTAGATTTTCATTAATATTTTACATAACATGCACATTTTATCAACACTTAGACAGCTTCTGAAAGGTACAACTTTGAGGAGCCATAAAAAACAAACCAAGTGACCTAAATCTTTATACTTTATAGATTTGTGACCACAACGGCATGGGCAATGCACCACCAACAGGAAATTTGAATCAGAGAAGGGGCCGTTTTGGAAACCGGCCCTTTCTCTGGATTGGCCTTTTTACCATTAAAATCAAACCATTCTATAAGAACTTTGCTCTCTTCTTCTAAACAATCTTTCATATATAGATAATTGTCACAAATCTTAGAGAGCGTGTTGTCATCTGCGTAATTGTATAAAATACATTTGTCTACAAAGGTAAAAATATCATTCATAAAAATATTAAAAATTAGAGGTCCTACATTAGAACCCTGGGGGACCCCCTTCTTTACATCAGTCCATTCGCTTGTCTCTGGCCCCAGTCTGACCTGCTGTTTTCTGCCACTCAGGTAGCTGCTGATGAAGTCATTAGATGTCCCCTGGCCGAGTCATACCAGAGTCTGTAAAAATGGTAGTTTCTACTCCTGCTTTACGCTCAGCAATTTAGGAGTGGGACGACTGGTTCGCCTGTTGTCAGTATAATGTGACTGGGTGGGGTGTGCTGCTTGGTGTCTTCGGCAGTATGTTTCAGTGAGGTAGCGCTATAAAGTCGGCATCAGTTCCGCTCTATCACAGGGAGACAAACACGAACAAGTCGCAGTCTCACAAAACAAACATGCATACACTACACACATGCATCTTGCATACAGGAAAGGCCGTCCTTAAATGACCATAGCTGATGATAAGATGTTAATTAAACAATACTAAATCAAACCAAACCAAAAACTCTGACTTAAACTGTTATATCATACCTAATGATTATGTGAAGACAAGAAAATTCAGTTTATGAAAATAATCAGTTTATAATAATTGAGTCTAATGTCAACACTTACGTCAGCTGGTATAAGGGAGGTGACTCTGTCGGATAGCCGGGAGGCATGGTAATCTGAAGATACAAACAGTAACATTTTTAAGTTGAGACACTCTTGGTTTTCAACTGATGACTATAGCAAAAAGGCATATGTTTCAAGTTACAAAAAAATCCTTTGACCACAAATAGCTTAGTCAGCACCTTAATTTTCCATAGATATACAAAGACTCTTTTTAGCCCTATATATACATTTTAAAATACAAATTGAGATTACATTTACTATTTCAAAAATCTTTACTACATTTTTATAAAAAGACTCATACACCAATGCTATGAATCATAAGTATCAATATGGTAATATTTGAAATACTATAATCATCTCTTTCACTTAAATATTAAGATGTACCAATGTGTCAATTAATCGGTTCGTCACTAAATGGTTTTTTTTTATAGTTCATTGGGCTTTACCCCTATGTAACTTTAGTAGACTCTACCATGCTTTGATCTGGATGAGTCCATTATGGTCTACAGTGGTGAAAAGGTTAATTAAGGATCCCTGTGCCACTGCCAAAACTGTAACTATATATGCAAGCTAGTGCACTGGAAACTGATTTTGCCAGCATGACTCTAGCTCTGATAAACCATTTCTGGAGGAAAAAAACCCCCATATTTTTTAGATTTTTAAGAAAAATAATACAGATGAAATTAACAAAAACAAAAACAAATCAACAAGTGTACTATTCTAAAAAGATCTGCGGAAGTGGACAGGGATTTGAACTGTGGACTTCATATTGTCAACTCATTCACCCCTGAAATTTCATAATGAACTATACCAAGCATCTGAAATGGAAGAGCTCAAATATGTCTTTAGGGGTGAATGAGTTAATTACCCATTGCTCTGGTAATTGACTGAGCTGCCTGGTCAGAAGTGTCCTCGCACAACTGTGCTACAGTATTACACCAAATAAAAATAATGGGTTAAAAAAGCTGTGCATACATACTAGTGATAGGCTGATGATCGTTTATAATCCAAAATCGATCGGTTTGCCCTTCCAGATTCTGGTCATCGATTACAATTTCCATAACTGATATAATCGGTTGATCATTGAAATCAAAGTGTTTAAACGTCTTCCAAGTGAAGTGTGCTTTGAAAGTCATATATTGTTATGATTTATACTACATGTATATGATTGATAAAAATGCATAAAAGTTGCTTGATATCCATTCAGTATACAAGAACGAAAACCTAATGTATAGTGAACAACTCTGTCTATTGATGTAATAGTAGTGTTCTCGCTTAATTATTTGGGTTTTCAGTCCCATAAAATTACAAACTGATTCCGCAATACGTCATCCAGCGGTTTACTAACTTCCAATTACAAACTGATTATCGATTATGATTTTAAACAGATAGCCCATCACTATTATATTGCATACAAAGAACTGCAGTGAAGTGGAACAAGGATCCTCAAGACTGAATGCTATGAGACAAAGTAATGGAGACATACCTCCACATTGATGGTTCTGTGTGATTTCGGGTCCTCATTTCTGACTTGTATGCTGTAGATGTGGGCTTGTTCACTGACCACACACCAGTCATCTCCGTAAATGGCTGCAAGCGCTTCCACCTCTTCTTCCTGTGAAATAAAGACTATTGTCTGACCATTCTTTATCCTATTTTGTATCAATTTAACACGAGACCTCCATTTCAACATGATAAAGAGGCTGATAAGGGTTGCGGGCTGTTACACAGTGCAGTATGGAAACGGTCATATTGTAGCATTTTAATCGGACACTTCATATCAACATCTGGTCTCCATTTCTAACCGAGAAAGAGGCTGATACTTACGGTTGAGGGTTTTTAGTATTGAAAGTTGGAAGCGGTCATATCGTAACGTTTTAATCGGACACTTCATATCAACCAGAGTAAGAGGCTGATATAGGGTTGCTACAGGATGAAGTATTGAAATTGTCATATTATAACTTTTTAAACATATACTTCACATTTTAAATACTTAATGACAGCGTCAACATCATCAGCATGTAACAACCACTATCAAGATTAACTGAGGTGGGATTTTTCTTAAATATTTCGGAAGTTAAAAGGATAAATATCATGATGGGTGGATATTGGTTGGTTTTGAAAATTGCTTATGCAGAGCTAACATTATTGCACATGCAGTTAATGAACAATACTACAGATAAGTACATGTATAATATAAAAAGCTATTACATTGTATCTGCTTTTATTAAACGAATGTGTATGCAATCATCAACATTACTTTGATTTACTTGTGTCCATGGTAATTTGCATGCACTAACCTACAAATATTATTTTGTTTTGGGTTGTGTTATAACTGTGTTTGAGTAAAAGGGGTGTAAGAATGCAAACTTTGCTAGTACAAAAACCAAACCTTTAGCTATAGATAGAGTCTGCCCAGTATTTTGAAAGCCCCATATTTTGAAGATCTGTTAGAATGATGTCCAATATCATAGCTGTCAATGCAACCCTCCCTCATTTTTACCAATCTCCCTCATTCAAGTCCAAACTCACACAAACTCAAAATCTACATTCTGTGGTCAGATGTATAATCTAGTTGCTGCAGGGAGTGTGTAATGATCATAACAGATGTGTCTGATTGTAATGACTGCTTTTTGGAGTTATTTTGATACAAAAAAAGGAAAAGACAAATTAAGCAAAGCAGTTTTAGTCACATTTCAAACACTTAATTCTACTTCATTGGAAATGTGGAATGAAGGGAATTTCTGCCAAAAAATCAATTTAGGGTATTCAGAAAACAGGTATTTTGCATATTATAGGTGTCATTAAGGAACTCTGAGACCTTTAAAGAGGGAATTTTATTATCTCCCAAATTAATCTTCTGGGGGAGAAAGTACATGAAATATATACAACTGCAACATTTTGGATAGATTAATCCGGATGTATAAAAAAACCTCTATTTATATAATACCTGTACACACACTGTCAAATATACACCCTCTGTAGCAACTCTCTCTGTAGGAGATCATTGTCATATTTGGTTAAAATGAAGGTTTTTGAATTTTTGATCAAATTGAGGGAGTGACTCCCACTAATGACTCATTTTTATGAGGGGTTAGGGATTTTACCAGATGTTTTACAGGGTCTCTTATTATAGGCCTATTAACATTAGAATTGGCCCTAAAATCAATAGTACATTTTGCTTTTAAACACAATAAACAACTTGATTTTACTGCATAAACATCATTATCATATTAATGATTGATGTGAAATTATACTGTGTTCAATACGACATCATAATTATAGCATACATACAATTTCAAAAAGATAGGAGAACAAACAAAGAGATTTGAAAATCATTCTCCCAACATTTGATAAACATATTTAGTTTATCCGCAGAGCCATGTCAAAACGTAGGGTTAATTGCATTTATGAATGAATCCAGTGATTGGCGTTCTGTCAAATAATCGCGGGAACATGAGACCAACAACGGGTGCCCCGCCCCATCCCTTACGGTTCATATATATTTTATCTTTTCTATTACACAAAAAAACATGTTCTAGTTACGTCACGTTTAATTTGATGGTCTAAGTACTGGTTTGAACTAGCTAGGCAGTTAGTAAATCATTCAGTTATAGCCCCACTACTCAAGCAACGGCTACTTATCAACTATACCTGTCTTGTGGAAGCGTCATCTGACATTGCTTATCTCCGTTTAATCATATACCACATTTTCTTGTACGTGACCAGCTTGTCAGATTTCACCGACTTGTGATACACATTGCAGTACGGGCGCGGCCATTTTGTACAAATCACGTGATAAAACAAAAGTCACGTGGCAGTTGATAGGGAGGACGCTTCATGCCTATAAGCTATAGGAGTTCATAAACTTGTACTCGGGTTCTGGCAATCTGATTAAAATCATAATCATAGTAATCTTATACTTGAGTGTTTGTTTGTCTTGTATCATGTGTGTCGTTCAACGAAACCAGAACTTAATCTAAAATAGAGAGATATTTATCAGTCTGGCTACTTCATAATTTGATGCTAAATTGTTGAAATCCAGCTTGCAGGAGCTTCTGAGCTTCCCCAGGGACGTAACCAGGACTATGAGTATATGGAAGCATACGAAGCTCGAAACGCCGAGTAGGGGTGGGTTTGGGAGGGGGGTTACCCCCTCCTGAGTTTGGGGGGGTCCAGGGGGGGTTTTTCCGCCCCCCCCCCCCCCCCCGAAATTTTTTTTTTAATCTGGAACCCACTCTGATGCAGTTTGAGACATACAATACCTATCCATTTCATATTTGGCTTTTAATATTTTTTATCAAAAGCGCGTAATAATTAATTCAACCTGATATACGTAGACGATCATGCGCCCGTTATCTGAAAAAAGGTATACTTGAAAAAATTACGTGGAAGCCCGTGCGTCCGTGCGTACGCCTGGTTACGTCCCTGCTTCCCCATCATGGACCCTCTACCAGGGCAACCGTAATTACGCCTCCCGTTCAGAAAATTCTGGCCTAGGACTATTGAAATGTTAAGTAACGCCTAATACCCTAGAATTTGGAATTTCTCGTTATTGGTCTACTGCTGTTAAGATCCATGCAATCATTTTAATATACCATAGACAATTAATGGAGAGAATTCGTCATAAAAAAATGTCAAACCCTGACACTTTAACTATAAAATGTACATGCTCCAAGTCAGGAACCGTTACATTAGTGCATTTCACAATTATTTTATGTTTTTTTAGCAAAAAAAAGGTCCAAAAATGTTTTCGCATCGCTCCGCTCGGCGACAGATTGGATTCTACGCCCCCTCTTTCAAATATCATAGAAACGCCCCTGACATGGCTTCGTTAACTTCGTACTACGCCTCAATCTGATTAAAATCATATGTTACATATACATGGCTTCGTTAACTTCGTACTACGCCTGGACATCTGTTCAGGCGGAGCCATGTAGGTAACAGATGATTTTAATCAGATTGGTGTTCTGGAATATATGTGATATACATTATCGCACCCAGTATATATGTGGGTGCGATATCTAGGTAGTGGGGTGCGATAATATATCACATATATTCGAGAACCCGAGCACCTATGCTCGAGTTTCGTGGCCAAAACATGAAAGTTATAACTGCCAACAAATATGACAGAAACAGATGACAAATGAAAATAAAAGAACTAACTGGTATTTGTTAGAACCAGAGATGTATATAACACATGGCTTTATACGTCTCTGTTAGAACCAATGTCAAAAATTTATAACTTTAAAGTGTCAGTAGTCAACGGTGATATAATTACAATCTTTAATCATGAATTGATGATCGGATACATGTATTATTGAGATTGCCTAATTATTAATTAACCAAAATTAATTATTAGTTATAATTGCAAATAATTAATGAATGGTTTAAAAAATTGCTGACTGCGATGGCCGAATACCAAACTGGACCAATGCATGGTTTCGTGTGAGCTTATAGTTTGTTTGTTTGTTTGATTTTGTTTAACGTCCTATTAACAGCTAAGGTCATTTAAGGACGGCCTCCCCTGTGTGCAAGATGCATGCGTGTAGTGTATGTGTGTGTATTTTGGGAGGCTGCGATATGTTCGTGTTTTTCTCCTTGTGATAGCGCGGAACTTATAGATAGGGATACTTTTATAGAGACGTACAACTTTATATTTTATACGTCTCTGTGTTTTTTTTACAAGTTTCAGTTACCCGGGTATAATTATCGACTCTTTCGATTTCCATGTATGTTAACATCTCGACCTTCTGAGGGATTCGGCCCTCTGAAACAACTCCCAGAGAGACCTAATGTATAAGGACGTGTGAAACATTCGCCACATTCCCATAGTGCGGTCAATGAAGTTCGTTGATGTTATCAATTAAATTATTATTAATTGTTTATTATTCTGAAGGTTCAATCACACAAAAAGCTGAATACATCCCCGACGGGTTACAAAAAAGATGATGGACTCTCTGGAAAGTTGTACTGGTAAGTGGAATCTTACAGTTAATACGTTTAAAAAAGGTGTTATCTTTGGAAATGGGAGTATAATTAGAGAAAATGAAGTATGGCCTTCTAAGGAAATATAATAGAGGTTGTCCATGAGTTCAGCTATTTAGACGTTTTATTAAGATATAATTGAATATTTTTAACCCTTTCACCCCTATGCAACTTTAGTAAACTCTACTATGCATTGCTCTGGATGAGTCCATTATGGTCTACAGAAGTAGGGTTAACACAGCAAAATATCACTAAGCAAGGTAAATGTAGAGAAGCGCTCTTTGCTGGTATTGTTTGTCGGAAAAAAGGTTTTAAGGTTAAAACTATGTTATCTGTTTTCGATATGAATTTTTAACATGCAGTGTCTTGTAAGCCATTTTCGACTGAATATCACATACAATTACATTTTTTTTACAGGGGTCAATCGGAAACTTTTTTATATGAAAAAAAATATTTCGTTTAAATTATAATTAGCTACCAGATAGTGTGAATTAAGCAGACCTCGCTGGTAGGGGGTTCCGGGGGATCCCCAACCCTTGGAAACCTAAATTTCACTACAACGTAGGATCTAGAAAATTATATCTATATTATATTTATGTATTTATTCATTTTATTTATCACTATTGTTATTATTTGTTTTAATACATCACGTTTTAATGCAGTAAATGCAAAATATAATATGGAAGTACAAAATCCAGAGAGCTTGTTAGGTACCGGGTCTGTCCCAATCACCTGTTCTCTGGATTGGAACCTGTGATAGTTTTACATTAAGATGAATGATCCCTGCTATGTAACTATATGTTTTTATACTGTGTAACTATATACTTGTACATTTGTACGATGCAATTGTGATATATGAAACTAAAATAAATCGAAAAAAATCGACTAGGTGTAGACGTTTATACAGCCTCCAATATTGAGAAACTATATAGTATCTTTATATATATATATATGGTATATTACGAAATGTGACGCTACATATAGTAAGTATTTTATTTATGAAATTATTCAGACGAGAATTGTTTATATCTATGCAAGAATGCGAAGAAAAAAATCGTAACTTTTTCACGAAGTAATTAACCTTTACCAGTATATATTTTACGTAAGCCGATTAAATTCAAAGTTTGAAGGAAATTACTAAATCATCACTTTACCTTAAAATTGAAACAGGCAGGTATTTTAAAAGATATGGATCATAGTCAGAGGTTGTGTACTTTGTGTCAATTAGAAGATTTAGAAAATAAAATTCCATTTTATATTCAGGTGATCTTTTTTTCGTCTTACAGACTTTTGAATTTTGTATTTTGATAGAAATACACCAAAAACTATTATATATATATCTGAAGCCTATATCAGAACTATTGGCGTCAAATAATGCGAAAGATAAAGTTGATATTTCAAAGTTTTTAAATGTAACAATATGAGAAGGACATATGTTCTGCAGTGATGTATATGTACCTTCTCACACTCTCTGTAATTCTGTCGTTATATATATTACATACTGATTAGCCCGACTTTCCTCTTTCCCTGGCACCAGACTTAGACATTTTGACAGATACTTGTAGATGTCTACCGAGTTTTCTCCGGCCCTGACACCAGGTTTAAACATTTTGACAGATAGAGGTTACAGGCCATTCCGAGTTTCCTCTGGCCCTGACACCAGACTTTGACATTTTGACGGATAGATGTCTTGGGCAAGCCCGAGTTCCCTCTGGGCCTGACACCAGAATTTTTACAGATAGATTTGTAGGGTCAGCTCGGGTTTCCTTTGACCTTGACACCAGACTTCGACATTTTAACAGATAGACGTATACCGAGTTTCCTCTGGCCCTGACACCAGACCTCGACATTTTAACAGATAAACGTATACCGATTTTCCCCTGACCCTGACACCAGACTTTGATATTTTGACAGATAGATGTCTTGCGTAGACATCTGTCCGTCAAAATGTCAAAGTCTGGTGTAGACATCTATCTGTCCAAATATCTAAGTCTCGTTTAGACATCTACCTGTCAAAATGTTTTAGTCTGGTGTAGACATCTACCTGTCGAAATGTCTAAGCATGTGTCAGGGCCAAAGGACATTCGAGATACAAACACGATGAGCTATAAACTTCAACGTAATAAAGAACGAGAACTATGAACACTAGCCACTAAAGTATCCTGGTCAGTGACACTCCTAAATTAAATTATCCCGTTCATTCAACCAATGGCCAAGGATAATTAGAGGTAATCAGATAAGGCTGCTTTTAACACCTATTTGTGGGATGCTGTTAACGTTATTTGTGTTATTTAATTACATTTCGTAAAAAGTAAACAAGGGTTGTGTAGAGTTACGATATTTAAATTTGATTTACCGTCGTTACATTATTTTGCTGTTGTGAACACGAAGCTATAACGTATATATATGTCTTTGCACATATACGCTGTATTACTATCAGACGAATATTTTCATGTAGTTTAGAATTGTAGAGATATTCTATGCTTCTAAAAGAAATTAAGATAATTATAAAAAAAATCTGTTAGCTGAAGGTGAACACAATCTATTAATAAGTGTTTTACTGTAAATGATTCACGACATTCTATGCATTGATGCTGGTTTTCGCGCCCCAATAAATAAAACGGCTTAAAAAAATATATCTAATTACTCATCCAGCGTTGTCTATATAGCTGGGATAGATACCATTCATCGATTTTTTGTTTTTCAGAGTGTAATTTGCTCTCTATTAGACCTTCCAAAATTTCCTATTAGCACTTTAAAACCTGTAAAATGAAGTTTAACATCGACCGACAGGTGGTA